GCTGATACCATGACACTCTAGCCCAGGCAACAGAGTGAGACTTTGTCTCAGAAAAAAAAAAAAAGAAATGAACAAATAAAAAATTTGGCTTATGTTTCCCAAAATGAAAAAAAAAAAAAAAAAAAAAAGAAGCGAGTAAGCACAACCTAAACCCTTCTCTTTCCTATGAACAACAATGTGCCCTGTGACATAAAACAGATATGAAGGAGGGGGGAGAAAATGCTAATATTTTTCATGTACATTAAAATGTTGCTAAAAAAACATTAAATTTCATATAGTATTAGTTATATGACAAACTATACTTAGGAGTGTATCATATCACAAAATTCTAAGAATTTGTGTCAAAGGACACTAGATATATAAATATAAGGTTTTTTTTTTAAGCACAGGCAGTGTTTACCCATATATAGTAGCCTAGATAGCCCCTAATATATGTCAGCTGTCTAATAATAATTTTAACATGTTTGTAATATTATTCAATGTTCAATATGTACTACAATAAAAATTTTTATATTTTACAATTAAAATGAGAAAACTTTATGCCATCAACTTTAATTCAAGCAGCAATTATAGCTCCTAAACTCTTATAACACATTGATAGACCACTCATAAAAGTATTCCTGGATCATCTAAATTTGGTTAATCTTGCCTTAAGTGGTACATTTCTGCAGAGAAAGAAAAAGAAAGAAAGAAAAGAAAAAGAAAGAAAGAAAAAGAAAGAAAAAAAGAAAGAAAGAAAAAAGAAGAAAGAAAAATACACAAATAGGTATCAGGCACTGACCTAAGTCCTTTACTTGAATATTTTTTTTTTTTTTTTTTTTGAGACAGAGTCTCACTTTTTTTGTTGCCCTGGCTAGAGTGAGTGCCATGGCATCAGCCTCGCTCACAGCAACCTCAAACTCCGGGGCTCAAGCGATCCTTCTGCCTCAGCCTCCCAAGTAGCTAGGACTACAGGCATGCACCACCATGCCCGGCTAATTTTTTATATATATATTTTTAGTTGGTCAATTAATTTCTATTTTTAGTAGAGACGGGGTCTCGCACAGGCTGGTTTCGAACTGCTGACCTCGAGCAATCAGCCCGCCTCGGCCTCCCAGAGTGCTAGGATTACAGGCGTGAGCCACCGCGCCCGGCCTGAATATTCTTATTTGACACACACATCTGTTCTCTGAAGTAGGTATTATTATTTTCCCCCATTTTACACTGGAGTGCTGGATAGGCTATACCAAGCCCAAGGTCATACAGCTCTATGAAAAAAGGCTGGAGCTGAACCTACACAGCCTAACTCTAGAACTAGCACTCAACCACTCCACTACCTGACGCCCCACTTAGGTCATCTTTATTCCTCCATCTTTACTTGCTGTCCAGTTTCCCCCACTCTCTCACGCACTCCAGAGATAGTCTTTTCCCTAAGCTTCATTCACTACCCAGTTGATCGAAGGCACCTCATATTTCCCAGATACTTTCCTCAATTACTCTCACCTGTTTCTCCCAGCTTTGACCACACTGCAGGGGTCCTCAAACTTTTTAAACAGGGGGCCAGTTCACTGTCCCTCACACCATTGGAGGGCCGGTGGAGAGTGCAGCGCACATTCCACACATGCGCACTGTGGGCCCCGGACGAGTTGGCTGCTAGGCAGGACGGGCAGTGGTGGCAAAAACACCCGGCGGGCCAGATAAATGTCCTCGGCTGGCCACATGTGGCCAGAGGGCCGTAGTTTGAGGACCCTGGACCACAGTATTTTGATACTTCCCTTTTACCATGTAACACATTATGCCTTGCACTAGTTATCTGAATGAATACAGAAAACTATTAGCACCTCTCTACTGGCTTCCTCCATCAGCTCAGGACTTTATTATATCTTAAAAAAAAAAAAAAAAAAGAAGCCGGGTGCAGTGGCTCACACCTGTAATCCTAGCACTCTGGGAGGCCGAGGCAAGTGGATTGCTCAAGGTCAGGAGTTCAAAACCAGCTCTGAGCAAGAGCAAGACCCCATCTCTACTATAAATAGAAAGAAATTAATTGACCAATTAATATATATAGAAAAAATTAGCCAGGCATGGTGGGGCATGCCTGTAGTCCCAGCTACTTGGGAGGCTGAGGCAGTAGGATTGCTTGAGTCCAGGAGTTTGAGGTTGCTGTGAGCTAGGCTGACGCCATGGCACTCACTCTAGCCTGGGCAACAAAGTGAGACTCTGTCTCAAAAAAAAAAAAAAAAGAAAGAAAAGAAAGAGGCTGGGCATGGTGGCTCACGCCTGTAATCCTAGCACTCTGGGAGGCTGAGGCGGGCAGATTGCTCGAGGTCAGGAGTTCAAAACCAGCCTGAGCGAGACCCATCTCTACTAAAAATAGAAAGAAATTAATTGGCCAACTAAAAATATATATACAAAAAATTAGCTGGGCATGGTGGCGCATGTCTGTAGTCCCAGCTACTTGGGAGGCTGAGGCAGTAAGGATTGCTTGAGGCCAGGAGATTGAGGTTGCTATGAGCTAGGCTGATGCCAGGGCACTCACTCTAGCCTTGGCAACAAATGTTCTAGAACTAGCACTCAACCACTCCACCACCTGACGCCCCACTTAGGTCATCTTTATTCCTCCATCTTTACTTGCTGTCCAGTTTCCCCCACTCTCTCACGCACTCCAAAAACTCTGTCTTAAAAAAAAAAAAGAAAAGAAAAGAAGGCTAACCAACTCTCCCTTCATACTTCTGATTACTGTGTTACAGCTCTCTCAGTCATCAAAGTCATGCTTCACTAAAGCATGGTCTACATTTCATCTCCTACTTTTTCACTTTCTTATTTTATTTTTCCATGAGTCTTTACCACTTTTTCACTTTCTAGTCAACCTTCCATTTCCTCCCCCTAATCATTATATCTTGAGATTACCTGGAGTTCTATAACTGGCCCTTATCTCCTTTTTTTTTTTTTTTTTTTTGAGACAGAGTCTCACTCTATCACCCCGGGTAGAGTGCACTGGCATCATCCTAGCAACCTCAACCTCCTGGGCTCAAAGGATCCTCCTGCCTCAGCCTTCTAAGGAGCTGAGGTTACAGGTGCATGCCACCACACCTGGCTAATTTATCTATTTTTAGTAGTGGCAGGGTCTTACTCTTGCTCAAGCTGGTCTTGAACTCCTGACCTTAAGCAACCCTCCCACGTTGGCCTCGGTCACCCAGAGTGTGAGCCACAGCACCCTGCCCCTTATCTGTCTCCATCAGTAGTTCTTAAACAATTGTTGGGGGTCAGGACAAAAGCATCCATATTTTTAATAAGTTTCTCAAGTGATTAAAACTGACACCAGATTGAGAACCACAGTTCATCCTGGGTAGTTTCATCTACTACCAACACATCCTCAGTCATTGTCTGTACAATGATGTTATATTTAACTCTGAACTCACCTGCCAAATCAACTAGCCAATTAGACAAAATATTTTTTAAAAATTAACTCTGTATCTCAAGCTTAGCACAGATCCCTCTTCTGAACTCCAGACTGAACCTGGTTCCCAAATCTGGCTGCACAACAGAACCACCCAAAGAGCTTTTTAAACCTACATCAACATTTTCGTACTGCTAGGTCTCTCTCCACCTGCATTCTTTTTTTTTTTTTCTATTTTTACTTATTACAGGTACACCTCCATTCTAATTCAGTAGATCCAAAGTAGGAAACGAGATCAACTTAAGGTTGATTATTAAGGATTATCATTATTAGGATTATTCAGACATCCCAATGATAACTCAGTTCCTTTCCTAGTCTAATTGCTCACACAGGTTTTGGAAATCAAGAACCACAAACTAGCCTACCTGAGAGAACTCATTCCTCCTTTAGTAAATAACATCATTAGTCACCCAAGATAAAAATCAGTTACCTTAGATGTCTCTCACATCTCATTAGCTGAACTTTTCTCTTTTTTTTTTCTGTTTTTATTGCCTTGCAACTTGCTTGATTGATTGACTATGGCATCTTCTGTACTAAGAATACTAGGCACGAAATAAATGTACGCTGAATGAATGAACCCAGAAATAATTGATTACTAAGCATTTAATTTTCATACAGTAAAAAGCACTTTCCTCTGCGATTTCTGTCACTTCTTTACAAGGTTAAAAGTTTGAGTAAAAGGGGATCAAGGCCGGGCGTGGTGGCTCACGCCTGTAATCCTAGCACTCTGGGAGGCTTAGGTAGGCGGATTGCTCGAGGTTAGGAGTTCGAAACCAGCCTGATCGAGACCCTGTCTCTACTAAAAATAGAAAGAAATTAATTGAGCAGCTAAAATATATATATATACAAAAAATTAGCTGGGCATGGTGGCGCATGCCTGTAGTCCCAGCTGCTCAGGAGGCTGAGGCAGTAGGATTGCTTGAGCCCAGGAGTTTGAGGTTGCTGTGAGCTAGGCTGATGCCATGGCACTCACTCTAGACTGGGCAACAAAGTGAGATTCTGTCTCAAAAAAAAAAAAAAAGAGCAAGTGTACGATGCAAAACAGCTAGACAGAAGGTTGTAGTCAAAGAGTAAACTCTTGGAGCTTAAAACTTCAGAGATACAGCACTTACTGCCATTTTCTACGTCTGTCTCTCTCGCACTTAGTAGTGCCATCCCGGAGCAGCTGAAAGCAGGCTTTGAACCTGGACAGAGTTGGATAGAACCCTTGTCTCTGTCATTCACTAGCTGCAAAGCCTTGAGTAAGCGATTTAACTTCTCTGAGTCTGTTTCCCTACCTGCGAAATGAGGATGACAACAGTACCTACCTCACAGGAATGTTAAAATTCGGAAAAAAGTACATTTGGAACGTGCCTGACCGGTAATTCGCCAAATATTAGCTGGTATTATGATTAAGATGCCTTCCAACAACTCAGTTCTCCGACTCTCCGCCTTTAGATCTCAGGAACCTCCCCAGAGCACCCCTAACCTTCCCAGACCACACCCTCACATTTTCTGTAGGCTCCGCCCCCTCCAGAGCCCACAAGGCCTCCTCAGCCCACCGAACCTCCGTCCCGCACAGTACCTGACCCATAGCGCACGTCGTGTGAGTGCAGTCGGACGTTGTGGCGCGTATTGAGAAGCTTCACCACAGAGCCACAAGTAACAACAGCCAGATTGGATGCTCCCACAGCGCCCCACAAACCCCCGAACAGCAGCAGCGGTACTACAGCCATTCTAGCTGGATTGCGGAGCCCCCAAACCTGGAAGACAACTTGGCCCCTCCCCGGAACCGGAAGCTGGAGGCGGAGCCACAGAGACGAGGAAATGAAGAAGTCGCAATGTGATCTTTATGGTTCCTTTAGCTAGAGCGGCCTGAGGAACACGCCGGCCCTGGTTACTTACGGCCCCCTAGCTATGTTTAGGGAGGGTCTGTAACAGCTGCCTTCCTGGACCGCTTCTGCCCGCTTCCGCACCCCTGGACGAAGGCCCCAAGGTAGAATAGAACAAGAAGTGGCCCGCCCACTCCCAGTGACAGGGAGCCGGATCTGACGTAGCACGTTGACGCAGCAGCGGCGGCGGTGGCGGCGGAGGGGCCGTGCGGTGGGTCCGTACTATCCTTTCCCAGTCTCGGTTCGACGACTCCATTTTCCTCAGTGGGGGCTTAGCGCACCGGAGAAGCGACGGGCTTCAGGCAGGTAAAGTTCGGACTGGAGAGCGTGTTCCTCACAGGGGTCAGGTAGGGAACCGGGCTTCTAGGGCCTGGCCCTGTAAGGGAAGAGGCACTGGGGAGCCGTATGCGAGAAGAAGGGGGGCCCTGGCCTTCCCTGCTCTATGCGGGGGATAGGTGGGAGGAAAGCAGCGTAGTTGCTCATAGTCTCAAGGCTTTTATCAAGCTGGTAGCATCTGGAACCCGCGAATTGAGTGGCTTGTTGAATCAACAGGCTTTCCTGGGATCCCGTCCTTCCGCAGCTTCTGAAAACTGGGCCACGCGAAAGGATTGGGGATGGAAGGGACCTGGGGCTTCTGAGGCGGATCAGGTGATCTAATTGTTTGTTCTGGGGTTGTGAATCCTACGGAGCTTTCGGCAGCTCTGCCATCAGGCTAGAGGGCGATGCCGAATTCCAGCTCTTTCCATACTGTTGAATAATACAATTAGAACTTTTTGTAGATGACTGCATCCTTCATCCCTTCCTAAAGATGGAAGGTTTTGAAGTACCTGAAGCCCGACCATTCTCCGTAAATTCATTTCCTCAAACATTTGCCAAATGCCTACCATGAACATCAGGATGGGTTGGTTATTAAGTCAAAACTTTATCTTCAAGTTTCTGCCCTTCTCTCCAGGCACTCCTTTGAACCAACTGGAGCAGTTCATTTCCTTGGGTTTTTGTAAGAACTGATACTTATTTTCATTTAGGAGGAGGCCTAAACTCTCCAAAAATACTTCCATGGAAATTCACTGTAATATCAAAAGTAGAAAAGCAATACTAAGCTACACCACTATTAATGAACATAGAGAATGTAAACAATATTGAATTTGATTAACTTATTCTGAAGAAAGCTTGGTTCCACTGTTTATCTGAAAGTTACCAATTTGTAAGTCTTCAGTGTTTTGATTACAAAAGTATGATTTGCTCTCCCATCAACTGAATTTAGGGCCTTTTTCCATGACTGTCCCTTCCCCAAGTACAAGTCCATTTTTATTCAGTTGGCTTGTGTGGCTACTAGATTAGATTAGTATAGTCTTATTACTCTAAGAGGTTTTAACCTCATCAGGAGATTAAGTACATCAGGAAGTGGTGCAGTCTGGAGAGGCTTAGTCACATTTTAAAGTTCTCCTTCGTGGCTGGGTGCAGTGGCTCACGCCTGTAATCCTAGCACTCTGGGAGGCCGAGGCAAGTGGATTGCTCGAGGTCAGGAGTTCGAAACCAGCCTGAGCAAGAGCGAGACCCCATCTCTACTATAAATAGAAAGAAATTAATTGGCCAACTAATATATAGAGAAAAAATTAGCCAGGCATGTTGTCACATGCCTGTAGTCCCAGCTACTCGGGAGGCTGAGACAGCAGGATTGTTTGAGCCCAGGAGTTTGAGGTTGCTGTAAGCTAGGCTGACACCATGGCACTCAATCTAGCCTGGGCAAGAAAGTGAAACTCTGTCACAAAAAATAAAATAAAATAAAGTTCTCCTTTGTAAGGCCTCCTTCACAAGAAAGAAAGCCTACCTAGTGTGGTGGAAATGTGATCTTTGGAGGCAAATAAATTTGCCCTTCATGCTGTGTTCTTGGTCTCAATAAATGGCACCACCAACAATCCTTCCCTTGACTTCCTCCCTGTCATCTCCCAGTACAATCAATCTCCATAAAACTGTGTTCCCATCAGCATATAAATTGTGTTCTGGTCTCCCTCACATCCCTCTCCAATTACCATCCTAATTTTTAAGAATTTCCCATCATAGCCAAATTTCTTCCTATGCCAGTTCAACATTCATAGCTCTTATTTCACTCTTCGACCTATACCAATCTGGCTTCTCTTCTGACCGCTCCGTTGAAATTGCTTTTGTTAAGGTTGCCAGTGACTTTTTTTTTTTTTTTTTTGGAAGACAGAGTCTCACTCTGTTGCCCTGGCTAGAGTGAGTACCGTGGCATCAGCCTAACTCACAGCAGCCTCAAACTCCTGAGCTCAAGTGATCCTACTGCCTCAGCCTCCCGAGCAGCTGGGACTACAGGCATGTGCCACCATGCCTGGCTAATTTTTTCTATATATTTTTAGTTGGCCAATTAATTTCTTTCTATTTTTAGTAGAGATGGGGGTCTGGCTTTTGCACAGGCTGGTTTCGAACTCCTGACCTTGAGCTATCCACCCTCCTTGGTCTCCCAGAGTGCTAGGATTACAGGCCCAGCTGCCAGTGACTTCTATGTAGCTAAATCCAGTAGATACTTTGTTTTCATCTTCCTCAGAGTCTGCAATATTCAACACAGTTTTTCCTTCCTTGAAACTCTTCCTGTCTTGGCTTAATGACACTTGACTCCTGGATTTTCTCCATTTCTCTGGCTGTTCCTTCTCAGTCTCTTTTTAGCCATGTTTGCTCTCTACTTAATGTCTAAATGTTGGATTTCTCTCAGGGTTTAATCCTGAGTCTTGTACTCGCTCCCTTTAGGTGACCCAGTCTAGCCGCATTAATTACCATCTGAAAGTTGGCAACTCTCAAGTTTAAATCTCTAGCCCAGCCCTCTCTGTGTTCCAAATCATAAGTCAAAATGCCTGTTTAATTATCTCCATTTGGATATCTCTTAGGCACCCCAAAGCTAACATAACCGAAAGAAAATTTTCCCATTTCACTAAGTGCTATTCCTGTGCACATAGCTACTAAAGCCAGACCTCTCAGAATCATCTTTGCTTTTTCGTGTTTACTACCCCACTTGCCCAGTCTTTCAGTAAGTCCTTTTACTTCCGCCTCCAAAATATATGTCTAATCTGCCTTCTATCTTCCATCAACACTGCTACCAGCCTGTTCCAAGCCACCGTAATCTTTTGCCTGGGCTACCACGGTAATATCTTCATCTTTCCCTGTTTCCACTCAAATCTCCCTGTAATTCATCTTCCATATAGCAGGATCAGGTCAGGGTGGAGCACGTCTTTTCCCTACTTAAAACTCTCTAGTGGCTTTCCATGGCCCACCTCTGAGCAGCCCCATGCTCCCTGGTATACTGTTGCCTTCAACCATGCTCTAGTCACGTTGGCCATAGGACATCACCTACATACCAAGTTCCTGCACGCTTCTTCAACTGGAACCTCTTCCCTGGCTCTGCAGGTCACATCCTACCCATCCTTGACATCTCAACCTAACTAAACTCACCCTCTTGGAAGTGAAGGTATATATTTCTTTCCCAGTACTTATAGTAAGGTTTATTTATAGTGGTTTGTCTCTTGCACCAGAATACAAATATCCTGGGGCAAGGACCTTGTCTTGTACATGCCTGGTATGTGGTAGGCACTCATTAAATAAGTATTTGTTGAGGTAAAAAGTAAATTCAGTCAATTCTCTGTTTAAAACCCTGCAGTGGCTTCCTGGCATCTTTAGGATAAAGTCCAAAATCCTTAACTTACCTTACAAAGATCCTTATGACTTCACTGCTGACTTGTGAAGCATCTTCCCTCTCCCTAATCAAACTGGGCCTCTCTGTTCCTGCCACAGTGCACACCTTGTGCTGGAAGTGCTCTTCTCCAGTATCACCTCTCCCGCCACCACCCCCAGGAAACCAGCTCCTCTGCTGAACTAATTCATCCTCATTTTTAAGGTCTTTTTTTTTTCTCTGAGACAGAGTCTCGCTTTGTTGCCCAGGCTAGAGTGAGTGCTGTGGCGTCAGCCTAGCTCACAGCAACCTCAAACTCCTGGGCTCAAGCAATCCTTCTGCCTCAGCCTCCCGAGTAGCTGGGACTACAGGCATGCGACACCATGCCCGGCTAATTTTTTCTATATATATTAATTGGCCAATTAATTTCTTTCTATTTTTAGTAGAGACAGGGTCTCGCTCTTGCTCAGGCCGGTTTCGAACTCCCAACCTCGAGCAATCCGCCCACCTCGGCCTCCCAGAGTGCTAGGATTACAGGCATGAGCCACTGGGCCCGGCCTAAGGTCTTTGTTTACAGTCACTTCCTTAAAACCAGGTTAGGTTCTGTTGTTACAGAATCCCATGCTACCCTTGTTATTAACTGTTTAAAAGACCTGTACTTCTAGATCAGGGGTCACCACACTAAGGCCTGTGGGCTGAATTAGGTCACTCCCATTCATGTACATGCTTTTGTGCTACAGTGGCAGATCTGGCCCTATAGTGAAAAAGTTTGCCAACACCTGTGCTCAAGCAGAAAGTATGTTCCCCAGCGTGTGTGGCACAAGGCTTAGTAACTGTTAATCCCTCTGTGTTGCAGAAGTTCTGAATCTGGTTACATATTTCAGTTGTTTCTGTTCTTTTGCCCTTTCCTTGTTTCCTCAAGGAGATATGAAAAGAAAAGGGATAATGTTGTTTAATTACTTAATAACCGTTATTGACAATAATGCTTTTTATTGAAAAGAGTCAAAGATTTATTTCCTATAAATATGTTCTTGTTAAAATGATAACAGATGGAATTAAACTTTTCTGTATTTTAGCATCTCGCCTTAGTGTAATTAGGGTGTGTTTTTTTTTTTTTCAAATAACAAAGAGTTCTGAATCCCAGATTTAAAAGAACTTGTAAGTAGACTCTGAATACTTATTAAATGTTTAGGTTTTTGGATTCCAATTGGTTATTCATTCATGGACATCTTTGGAATAAATAGTCTTAGGCCCTTGCTCATAAAATATAGAATACAAGACACTGTCAAATGCCTTACAGTTGAAACTCCACACCAGCTTCCTGGGGCTATTCCCCAGACTACCAAGCCCTTTCAAGGCTAAACTTTTGCTCATGTTATCTTTGTCTAGACTATGTTCTTAACTCCTCTCTCACTCAGGCATGGCCTTTTCTGAGGTATTCCCCAGCCTCATAGTT